ACCGTAAAACATTAGAAGAGGCCGAATTTATTAGTACCACTACAAACCTATGTTCCACTTCCGCACAAAAAAAAAACACAGCCCTACAGAGAACAATCCTTTACTGATACCATTGCTGAAAACTCCCCTCTATGTCACTAGTTTCCTTGATGCAGTTTCTCATTCTGTAGGCCATTAAAAGGAAAATATCGTTTGGAATAACGATGCGGAGCACCTCAACCTCTTTGTATTTACAATCTTTGTGTTACCAAAGCCCGGAATGTTTGTCTTCCGCACCACAGAAAGGTGCCGGAAATGTCCTTTCCTGACAAGATATTGCCTGTTGGCATCCCATTCTAAAATTGTAACAGGAAAAGATGAAGCATACTTTCTTGTGGAGCATATCCTTGTCAAAAGCACATGTACTACTCGAGTGTGTAAGTCTAGCCGACACAAATTCTCCACCGCCAAACGATGTCGAAACAATCGCCTTATTGCCCTGGGGGCTCTTGATGCAACCGTTGGCGCTTCACTGATAAAACGTAGTAGCGTGTCTATAACCTAAAAATAATTTTTTTTTAGGTTAGGAACTTTTTTTCGCTGGTGTCCAAACGATGCTAATGCTACAAATGGGTAACTAAGGATTTTTCTGTTTCAGTCCTAAGTCACAAAGTTTACAAATCCAGAGTGTTATGCGCCGGAAACCTTATGAAAGGCTGTCAAAACCCGGGCCCCCTCCCTCGTATTCGCCTTTTATAAGAGACAAAGACACTAGGGAGGTAGCCCGAGTAGTAGCAAATGCCAAAAGCAACCGCCCACAGGAAACTTGCTGTTAATGGCTCCCTCTTTCGAGTGCTGCTTACAAGAAGATGGCGGGTTTGACTCAAAGACTATAACTGACCAAAACACAAGAGAATATGTCATGTTTGCCATGTCAAAAAGCACTATAGGTCGTGTGGCTCAATCCTTTGCATTCGAAACAGCGCAGTCATTTGTACGACAAATAATGCATTTACTAGGAAAATAATCTGAATATTCAAATATTCTAGTAATTCTTTCGACTAGAAACAGGCCACTATGCTCGTATGCTTAGCGAGACAATCTCAATTTTCTTTCAGAGTAGAAATACGATTAGCTTCAAAACTACCTGTTCCGACGCAGGCGATGTCAAAAAACCAGTAAACTCTCATTTCCCCTTTCTCATGCAACTACACACTTCAAAACAACGAATATTTGTGATAAATTCGCTATAAAAAATCTCTATTTATAACTCATCTAACTCCGCTAATTCCCCTCGCGCTCAAACAAACAAGAAAAGACAATAATCGTACTTTCGTTGTCATCAATCGTTTAATATTATTTTCATCGTGTGAGAGCCAC